CTTATGTATGATCAAATCCTAAAGACTATCAATTTGGAGATTCAAATCGGACTTGTCGAAACACTTTCAATCCTAAAAACTGGCATTGATTACAAAGAATTTACGGGCGGTGCATTTACACTTTACACTTGTTTTGGGTTAAGATTTGTTTATATATTCCATTATTAGCTGAATTATATTAATTGTTGAGTCTGCTTTTCTAACTTCGTCCGAAAAATAAGTATTAGTCTAGATCAGGGGTTCTGCGCGGTCTTTAGGGGTCATCATCACCAGTTATCGATTGTATCGAATTATATTTAACGCTAGTGACACCCAAGAGCTGTAACGTCTTGACGCAGTGTTTAAATATCGTTGTAATTCATCATTTAGAACTAGAAACTTATGTGAAGATTGCATTTTCTGATAAATTATCTGCATCAACTTCTAAGTATTTCTACCTTCTTGCAATACATTTGTTTCTCTATTGATTGGTTTGTATGAATGTCGTGTGAATCTCGTTTCGTTCATTTCTCTGCTCAATATTAAATTCATTTATTTAATCTATTGGGAAGTTGGCTCACAATTTCAAATTACTTCGAATTCAATCTTTCATGCTTTAAATTTATTCATTAGTCGTTACTTCATCTAAGTAAAGTCCATCGATTCAATTTTTTAGTGTTCTTTTCTCTAGAAGTGAGTTACTTTACAACGTTACCAGCGAAGATCACTATTCAAACTTTAGCAATAAGTCTTTATCTCAACTTCTAAAGCATCAAAATCTTCAACTGTTCTTCCTATTTATCCTGCCCAACTTCCCACCCCTTAAACTGATTTGCACTATTTTCCTCCAATTATTCCTTCAAAAAGTGATCACCTCACTGGGCATTTAAACCTCAGGTTCGTAGCATTTTCCGTGCACAAGTGATATTTTGATCACTTATTATAACAATAATTAGTTTACCCTGGCATATTGCAAGATTTATCATTTAAATTTATTTCTTCAACAATATACATATAATCAGATCCTGAGACTGGCAGGCCTAACGTTATTTCTACGTCACCCATTCGTCGCCCTGTTCTCTACCCGCCACTTTCAACTCTTGTGAAGCGTATTCTGAAGATTGCATTATAGGATTCGGCTCCTAACGACGGAACATTATCTGCATTACAATGAAGCAAAACCATTCCAAATCAAACCCAAAATTTCTTGAATGAATTAAAATAAAAGCTTAATTGATTATTTCTTAAATTTGACACTCTGTGGATTTCGTGAAAATCTCAGAAGACATAAATAACAAGAATTAAGAACGAAAGCCTAAAAGTTAATGGATTACCCAGTTCTATTTTCAATTGTGAGAACCAGCGATGAAGAACAAGTTTTGATGGCTTTTAAAGTTATTCATATGGAAAAGTTTACAAGAAATAATTCTCAAATATGACGAGAATCTAAAAGTAACTTGGCTCATCATCTTGGTAAAATGGTGGAATGGCATTTTCGCTTCTAGTACAAGAGAAAACAAAACATATTAAATTATGATTTAACTTGAAAGAACAGCGTGATCGAAGAATAAAAGAAATAGGTACCCTACTGAGTCCAATAATTAAAGTTGAATAGAATTGATCAATTGACGAGCTACGAGTTAAAATATTTTTAGTTAAGCGTTTCCTCTCTACTTCGCTGATCGAGTATCGTACTTAGCCTACTCCGCCGGTTTTCCGAAATATTTGCCTCGAATATTTGTAGCTAATTATATTGCGCATTGACGAATTGTTTTCTGTTTTCTGATGTAAAAGTTTAGTAATAGGAGCTATCGATCATTCGGAATTGCACGTAGCCGGTCCGTCTTACTCTGCCAGCGCCTTCTCGTTGAACAGTAGGAAGTGACAATATCGAAGATCAATTTCAAGATCCGTTGATACAACTCTGATGCTCCGAATTTAAGGATTTCATAATCCCTGCATGTTTTTATGTGGACGCCATGCTTTAATGACGCTTCAGATTTATATCCCCTTGAAATTACGAATCGTTAGGTTTTCAAGTTCCTAAATTCGTTTTTAGCGCATTTTCTCATTTATGGAAAAAATGCACTATTGTGCTCGCCATGTCCGTCCGTCCGTCTGTCCGTGACCTCAAGTTTTCGTCGACGAGAAAATGCGCTCTCTGTCACTCACTGCAGTGAGTACTGAGTTATATTTTTTTCAGTATAATTAGGTTTAATGTCATTGGTGTAAATTTAGATTTTCTCTGTGGATTGTACTTGTAATCTCTAAATTTTTGAATTGATGACGGAACTGGTCTCGCAAAAGTTTTCGATGAACCAAAGTTACCTGGCAATGAACCCAAGTTACCTTCTTTCTTTTAATTCTTGGAGTACTTGCGATTTTTAACTAATGATATAAGTTAAGATTATTTTTAACTAATAATGTAAGTAAAATGATTTTTAACTAATGATATAAGTTCTTGTATTTGTAGGAGTAAGCGACGGGATTTTAATCATCTCACTTCGCTATAATTACTAAAAAAATTAAATATTTACGAAAGACGACAGGGAAAAACAGTGTCATTTGAATATCAGGGGCTGTCGCGGAACAAAACTCCAGAAATATTAGACGACAGATCCTCCTTTAAATTCATGTATCATAAATGTAAAGTAATTTGTATAAAAAGAAGAGTGCTCGCAATCCACAAATATTGCGGTTACTCGAAGCGATGGACACTTCCCGAGCAGTCTCATTGGATCCTGAAAAAGTCAAGGCGAAAACCGAGTTGGAGGCCCAACAAGCGGTAACTAATGGAGAATGATGACACAAGTCGTGCCTGAGGTCTGTTAGTTTTACGGGGGTCTTCCGTTTAGCGCCTCTCGTGGACGCATTCAGGAAAGCATTCTTCACGAGGTTCTCCACGCGTAATAACTCTTTGCTGAACCGGAGGCGAAGGTCGCGGTACAAGTAATGTTTCGCCAAGACGAAACACGCCTTGAAGACTTGCTTATAATTCCGCTAAAAGGAACTTGAAGGACGAATTAACGATAAAAATATACGCGAAACATTAGATGTTATATTATTATATACATATTATAGACAGCAGATCAGATATCATATCATTATATACATATTATAGACAGCAGATTAAAAATTCGATGATAGGTTATGACAATAAATAAGTATTTTAAATGATTTAACATGAAAATATTCGAAATGCACATGCAAATACCGTTCATGACAATTGTAAAATGTGGAGAACTTTACACACGGAAGATTAGTTTCATTTGTATTTTCTTTCGCTATAAAAAAGTATACCATGACAATTCGTGAGCAAATTGTTATTTTCGTACGTAAACAAAGTTGCATAGTATGATTCGCAATTATTGGAATAATTTAATTAACTATCTCACGCGACACGCACGGAAAAGCGTGAAAACCAATATTCGTCACGTACTGACGTAATAAAAAGAATCACTTCCTACATTGAGTGAATCCGTCACGAATCTGTAGTCCCAGCACAAGTCAAACATCGCAACAATTAAAACAGCTCATCAAACTTATAGATAGGTTATATAAATTTTGAGACACATACTATCACTAGTTTGCGCGATTGGGTTAAGACCATGTGATGTGGTAATTTAATTGAAATCTCGAAAAATCCAAGGAAACAAATACCGAAAGTTTTAAATTTAAATTAATCAATATCAGCACTTTGCATCCATGCATGTTATACTAATGTAAACACTGCATATTATAAATTACCGTAATTAAGATGAAGAGTCTGTAGAGGTCACGAAACGCGCAACGGTAAATGTTACGGCGCAAATAAAAGAAGCGGCAGTGTCAATAAAAACTGCCGGTCTGTGGCAGAAATCAGAGCCCAGAGGACCGCCCTCCAGACCCTTATTCGGTGATAAAATTCCCTTAAAACACATGTGCTGGACTTACAGTAGGACAATGAAGCGAAATGAGAAAGAAAAAGAGAAGAATAGGGAGATAATGGGGGAGAGGAAGATAGAGCAAAAGAGCAAGGTAGGCAGGAGCGAGAGGGCGTTTAAAGAGGCACCTGCCACGCACAGGTGAGCTTTGCTCCCGGGGCAGGTACGATGTGTTGGCAACACGGCACAAGCATGGATGTATTGTTTATGCAACATGATATGGATGAATTGTTTATGCAACATGATATAAGATGGAATGCTTCTTTCGGTAACAGAACACATGTAATAAATGTGTTCTTTCGACAACACGTCACAAGATTGAATGCGGTGCGTCAGCAACACTATACATGAAAGAAATGTGATGTGTCTGCAACGCGGCACAATCAGGAATGTATTGTTTTGTCACCGCGGCCCAAGCTGGGATGTGCTATGTCGTTTCGGTTACACGGTATCTAGTTAAGGATGTGTATTGTGTCGGTACACGGCACAAGATGTGATGTGTATGCCTGCAACGCGGCACAATCAGGAATGTATTGTTTTGTCACCGCGGCCCAAGCTGGGATGTGCTATGTCGTTTCGGTTACACGGTACAAGCTGGTGTGTGCTGTGTCCGCAATTAACCCGGCACGCGTGAAGGATGTATTGTGTCGGTATACGGCACAAGATTTGATGTATTTGCCTGCAACACGGCACATATACGTGTAATATAAATGTGTTGGGTCGGAACCATGGCACAAGGTGACATTTGCTGTGTTTGCAAAATGGAACTAGATAGAATTGATAGTGTTTTCATTACGGCACATGTAAAGGATGTGCTGTATCGGCAAGATAGAACAAGATCAGATGAACAGTGACGCCCACGTCGCGCAAGTATCAAATATGTGTATGGTGCATAGCAGTCCATGAATTAACAGTGACCATGTCCATGTAATCTAAAACGGATAATTAGGTAAACGATTGACCTCAGTGACAAAAATCGGAGATGAGAACAAAAGGATTCATGAATATACTTTATCTTCAATCTTGAGCGAAATTATATAAGGTGGTATGCGAGCTAAATAATTCCATGTCACGTTTTATAGCCTGGCAAAAACTCACCCATTTCGTCGATGAGCGGCGCCATACGTAGCGTTGCACCCACCAAGATGATGCTCATGAGGAAGAGCACGAGGCCAGTAGCCATGATGGACCACCTCACTGTTTTGGGCAGTTCATCCTTGTTTGTGCTTGGCCTGACCCGCTCCCGAGAACGACATACTTTGGCCGCCTTCTTTGCAATTTCACGTCTCTTCTTCCTGCGTGCTTTTGCCTTCTGCAAGCGACTCATGCATAGTAAACTTCTCTGTATCTCGTTGATTTGACTGGCTTCGAGATCTATGGCACTGAGGTTTATGAGCGAACATGACGTTGACGTGAGAAATGGAGCACCTGCAGTCACTGGAAGGACAGATACCGTTGCGAAATCTTCATCGATTCTCTCCTCGATGATAGGATCTTCAGTTTGAATGTAACTGATAGCGTCTCCTTGCACTGCAGCCAAGTTATCATCTTCTCTACTGCAGTGAGGAGCTTCGATGTGAATGGTGGGAGGTACACTTGGACTCGCAGTGTTAGCTGCACTGTTGCTGGACTGAGGTCTAGAAAAATCTGTAGTAGAAAATTCGTCGTAAGTTTCAATGGTAGATTGTCTCAAGAGATACAGACTTTGGTTGTCAGACCCACTCCGTAAAGATGATTGTCTCGTTAACCGCAATGAGCTCGAAGACTCCGTCGTCGGCTGGCGCTGCAACTCCCTGACGAACTTCCTGGAAGATTCAGCAGACTCCTCTGTATCCTGTCTGCGTAGCCTTTCTCGCGAGTAGCCCTTCGAGTATCCTGAGTCCGAAGAGTCAGTCGTCCACTGTCTGCGCAGTTCCCGAGGCCGTCCCTTGCAACGATAGTCAGCATTGCAGCTCTCTGTAGTTCGTTGTTTTCTGAGTCGATGAGGACGCGTGCGAGATACGTCACTTGCACTGCTCAAAGATTCTTGATGATGAAGAGTACGTCGATGAGGTTTAAGAAGCCGAGGTCTTTCTAATCCAACCAGATCAGCCCCCCAGAGTTGAGCCACGGCAGCAATGCCAGAAGAATGGGCATCACGAGTTTGTGGCGACGCCAGCAATTCATCGTCAGTGCTGGTCGCCTTGTCTTCACAACGCGATTCTTCGCTAGCCATGCCAGCCGCAGAATCTGCCGTTAGCTGCCTGCACATGGTGGTCTGTGCGAAGTCGTTAATAGCTGAATAATGCGAACACGAATGAGAGCGTGGTTTGTCAGTAACGTCTGGTAAGAGTGTAGTTTTGCCAGTGTCATCTCCATCTTCATCGGTTCACTCGCCAGAACCAAGCCAGGCGGCATTTAGACGCTCTGGCTGTTGTCGAGTTATTCCTGTGATAGTTTCTCATTCACGGAACACAGAGTGAGTCGAAACTGAGAGTAGACAAGATCCTGCAGTTACAAAAACTCTGATCGCTAGCTGAGAGCCCAAGCAAGCACACGGCCTAATCTCATCTGTATGGAGTCACCATTGTTCATTTCACTCGTGACGGGGGTATCTCTGAAAAGACACTGCATATAGTTTCTTGTTTCTGCGCTGGTAGGCTGTAAATTTCAAAAAAACACATTAGAACACAATTACCTTAGCTTCATAAAATATCGGATTTGGAATGAAAAAAGGATCAAAAGTAATTGTTTTATCCAAGTTGGAACGTAACACTATTCTTTTGATAGAAACTTAACAAAATGTAATTGTTTCAAGGCATATTAAATTTCTGCAACGCCAGTTAATTGCAGAGGCTAACGTGAGGACGAATGGTTGTTCTGCTAAATTTGTAACTCATCTCCAAACGTTGATGCAGCGGAATCGGATAATTTTTGGAAGCCTTGAAATCGTTAGCAGCAGTTATATTCAGATGAAAACTTAGACCATTATCTTGAGCGTGCCTAATATCTTTAAAAATATTGACTTTACAAGTATAGTTTGATCAGCGATATGAATGGTCACGCGATACCTACGAGAATGCGTTGGATTTATCCTTTAACGAAAATGAATTGCAAGAATTTTCTGAGCCAACTCTGAATTTTACTGGCATTATTTTGCATAACATTCTATTCGACGTGTCATTTGAACAACAGTAAACAATAAATAAAGAGGAACTGTCACACGCATAAATTGTCGCAAAGTTGCTATTGTTTGCATCGTGTGATACAGCACCCAACCCAAGCACACAAATGTTTCACTAAAATGATCATAATAGAATAATACATTATGTTTAATGCACAATTATATTTGATTTACTCTAAGCTCATTATAGCCAACAAGGGACGCGTGGAGCAGGAGCACAGCCGCGCAGCAGGGCAAGGCGCCGTCCCCCTTAACAGCGTCCGTCAGATGTCAGAGGTCGAGCGCTGAAGTCACTCATTCCGCTGACGCGATCGCCACCGAGCGACGCTTGTAGCACGATGATACTCTGGTCAGCGTTGAATTAGTTTAGCCGTACATCTATTTACTTGATGCAATGTGAATAAAATCGTGTAGTTGTTTCTGAACAGCACACAGAAGATAAAGCTATTGAAATGTGAACACAAGCACGATGAAACTCGATGTCAGCCTTCAATTAGTTTAGCCGTACATCTATTTACTTGGTTCTAGATGCATAAAATCATGTAGTTGTTTCTGAACCGTACACAGAAGATAAAGCTATTAAAATCTGAACACAAAGTTTTTCAAAATTTCGATTTTCGGTCGTTTTTCGACGGCCGGCAACTAACAAACAGCGAAGACTCACGTGTCATTGACAAGTCGTTAATCGTTATATAATTGTCACTCTTGCAGGGAAATTGAAGTTGCCGAATTTCCTGATGCCATAACCAATAAGTGAATTTAGCAATCGCGCCCGTAAAGCAAAAAATTTAATTTTAGATTTCAAGCTTTAATTCAAGTTTAGGCTCCGTTACGTTAAGTGAAATTTTACTTAACAATGCGCGGCATATTGTTCAGATTGGGATCATTATGCAAATAGTTAAATTTACCACAGGAGCATCATCAAATAATAGATTTAACCGTAACTAGCAGTAATTCAGAGAAAGCTGAATCAGAACGTAACAAACAATTGGTATCGCCGCGAAGAAAATCATTGTTAATGGAAACTTGTAGAATACTCTGTATACTCCAAAGGGATAAATAAAAACATCCCATTCACAATTTTACCACAGAAATTCTGAAATTATTATGACGAGTATGATGATATTAAATATTTTACTCTAATGCTCATTAATTTGACACAATGCTTCCGTAAGGATGTAAACTCAGTGATGAGTTTTCAATTATCTAAAAGAAAGAGCATCAATGGGCTAACTATCGTATATTGCCAAATATGAGTTATATATCATATGAGTTATACGTCATATGAGTTATATATCGAATTAAATCTTTTCCTGGTAAGGTTAGAGCAGAGGTTTTAAGTTTCACGTCTTAAATCCTTAATAACGTAAAAAATTATAACAATCCTGACAAAGCATTAGCTCTCAAGCGCGTGTCAGGCGGCGCTGACTCAGCAGCAACGCTGGCAGCAAATGGCATCTCACACTCGTTTAGAGTTTACTTCCATAATTTTAGTTGAGTTGAAGCAAAATTTTCCGTATGTCTCATTCCTCGTAATTTTCCGTATGCCTCATTCCTCGTAATTTTCCGTATGTCTCATTCCTCGTTTACATGGCTTGGATATTATTGGCTTGGATATTTTGTGTGCTAACGTTCATTTAAGTTGGGATCAACTTTTCTATCCTATTGACGGAGCACAAAAGATTACATTTTTTATAAGCGAATAACTTTAAAAATATGAAACTCGCATGCATGTTATATTGGACGTACGCTCTTATCTTGCTATTTATAAAAACCCGGCCACCCGGCAAATTAGACATTATATGAATTGTAGTTCGAGTCAAATAAAAGTGAAGGAATCCGAAACTTTAGTAATAGAACTAAATTAAATTAAATTTAAACTCCACTATAATTTTATTTTGCTTGACTTTGACTCTAATTAAATTTGTTTAAACACAAAAGTAAAATATCTAAAAATTTTCACGCCAAATGATACCGTTGCAGACCCTTGAAAATGAATCAAAATGATACGAATCACATTACCTCAATTAAAGCGTATTCCCCTGGCGGCGGGGGCGCCGATATGTCGCGCAGAGGAATGTATCCATTGCAACTAGTGCAGTAAAACAAAGGCACTCGAGGCTTTATTCTCTGATCCCAGCAGTTGACCGTCCCGATCTGCAATAAATCTGTGCACAGCGCCAATCTACAGCCAATTAAAAGAAACTACCTGAGCCTGGCGCATATATAAAAATCTAGAATATAAAATAATATAAATTCTGAATCGCCGGTAGAATAAAAAATGACGCAGCTGTTTGAGAAGATGCTGTGATACTAATGCGTATTAAGTATCGTACATATATCTAAACACGCGGTTGAAGGGCTTCATGGACCTGCATATTCATGTAATAAATTTTAAGATAAGGAAAGCAATTTTGGCTCCTGTGTTGCACGCTTCAAGGCGGTATGAGAAAGCCACACTCGTAAATGTATAAAAAATTTTATTCTTGCGACAAGATATCTCAGAGTATACAAATAATTCGCCACACAATTAAAATTTTTGAACATTGTAATCTGAACTAAAATTCGAGGTCACACTATAATGATTTCAATATTCACAACTATTCACTAACTATAATTATTCCCCGCACGAAAGCAAAGATATACATGAATTTTGTGGTCATTCGCCACGACCACTCAGTTGAAAGACGAGTGAAGCTCAGCAGAAGCTGTAACAGCATTATACGAATGAATGAATTCCGACTCAACAGTCGGAATTGAACAACCGCTATCTGTCACACGTAGACTATTCGTTACATTTTTGTAAGTTCAGGGAACCACGGGACTGGACTGGCACGCAAAAATGAGACGGCAGATTTGGCGGCGAGGTAAACGGGGCTCGTTCTCATTGACTGCCGAAGAGAGGTCAACGTGCCATGAGCGTTATGAGCTTGGGCAGGTATACCCTAACAAAATTTAGAGTCGCCCCAGCTTCTGGCAATCCGAATCAGAAGCTGAAGTGTCTGTAAATTTTCACTGGGTAGCGAGTCTCAACTGCGGGAGCCGCACGTTTAATTACCCATAAGAGCAACGTGCTGGAGCAAAAACCGTACGGCCGAAGATTCCTAGACTTGGCTTGCAGAAACGCTGGGAAGGGGATAAGCATTTTACAAAGAAAAAACACTTTATGAAGAATAACCCTAAAAAGCGTATGAGGCACGTGGTGTGTGGTGAAGCAAGGGTACAATAGGCAATTGATGGCTTAATAAGGTCGATGTTGCGTGCAAATAAAAATCAAACGATAGCAGATTTTTTTTTTGTCTGCAAAGAACATTCAGAAGCTTAGAGTGATCATTGGCTCATGTGCATATACCATGAGGTATATGTACAAAAATCAAGCCCGCAAATAGAAATAAATCTTGTTTTTTCATACTAACTGTGGACGAAACATTTCAATAACGGACGAGAATACATAGGATTTGCGAATATATAAAAATCAAGTTAACTAAGTATTTGCTCGAATGCAGTTCGGACGTCTTTCACAGGACAACCCCGTCCAGTGGGACAGGAGTCTTAAGTTCACAAGTCTTTGCCCTATTATTAGGCGCAGCGGGTCAGCTCTTGTTTACTGAAGCATCAAGCAGGTAATTAAGGCGCAACACAAGCCTAACGAAGCAACTTAAACTTCCTCTGCAGCTCCCAACTTGCCTCCTCTTCCTTTTTCCTGCGCGCGGCTAATAAGTTGAGTTTTAGCGGGAGTTGAAAGTCCCCTACAACTGCACTGTGACAGGTTCTGGAGAGGAATGCAATGCTAACATAATGGGATGTTATCCTTCTTGTTATTTTCTTGAAGGTCGATCCGCACAAAATTCGAGGCTTACAAATATAAAGTCTGCTTCCGCAGAAGGACTGATAATTTTATTTGTATGTATATTATCATTTAGAATCCCATACATAGGGAAATTCGCAAGTAATGGAATGAAAAAAAAAAATATTTCACTGCATCTGAGTAGCAGCAACAATGATTTTTTATATAGAAGTTTCAGTTAGCTAAAGTTTTCTCTTTGTGTGAACAAACTTCGTCTCAAGTTAGTCAAAAAGAGCACAAAAGGCACGCGTACTCAAGTAAAGAGTGCAACAAGCAACTCAATTAGCAGTAAGCAAAGAACGACAGGTCATTTGACAGGCGCTCTGGCCAGACAAAGTGTCAACAAATAAGACGAACGTATAGCAGGAAGATGTAGGACTCCTAACCCTACAGAGAAATGCCGTCGAAACAATATGTTGATTACAAGTTGATATCGTTGAAACAACGTTTATCGAACGATATTTCAACGTTAGATATCTGGTACCATGTGCACTATAGAGGTTACCATTGGAAATGTGACTGGATTAAGGATTTAGTGGCACGTATATTTGCGCACAACACGAGTATTGTACAGCAGGGTCAGCTTATTGATCGGTAACAACAAAAGAGCAGACAACAA